CACGCTGGTCAATGCAGGGTGGCTGAAGATGGGGCGAATCGCAGGACGTGTTCAGACATCACTCGCCCCCTGATGATGTTCGTCCTCGGCCAGGAAATCGAACTTAGGTCGCCAGCTTCGGAGCGAAGTGCGCTAACCACTGCGCCACTGCTCCTCCGTAATAAAAATGGAGCACATTGTCGTCCTTTATCAGAACAGTGCACACAGAGCAATGACAGTTGTCCGAAACGTATCCTTAGTACAAGCATCATTATCGATAGTAGTATTTATTTACTTCGCACGCTAAGATCAATGTCAATAGCGAGAGTCGGTCTCGGCCTTGTGTTGGAGCAGCGCGGGGAACGCGCGGGTCACTTCTGCGTTCGATGTGCGCGCGCGCGCGCATTGAACGCGGGCAATTCGCCGCGTGCTGTCACTCATTCGTGTATTGCGATGCTTGCTATACCACCTATCCTACCTCCAAAACCGACGTCTCCTTTAGCAAGAGAGACCTGAGGGATATCACGGGGACAACACAGCAGGCGCGTGGAGCAAGACCAACGATGGTGGTCGTCTTCTCGTGGGTCGTCTCGCCCCGGCATAGAAATGTTGGCATTTCCATCACCAATACTGAGTGTGCTGATACAGCACAATTTTGCACGTGTATACACTCAGAATTCGGTCCCAGGATGGAAAAAAAAAGTCCTTCGCCTTGGAAATGAAGCAATGGTCACAGGAATATATGGTAATCTCTCGACTTTCCAAGTTGGATAACGCCATGCATTTTAATTCGACAGTTGTATTTCCCTCGTGTCTCGTCAGTTCAACCAACCAGCTGCATTGCCATGGAACCTGCCGCCGGTCATTGTGGTGCCATTGAGACTTTATTCATAATGATCTCATCTAATACTCGTAGCCTACACACATACATAAAAAACAACGCTCCCCCGTATAGCATTAAAATACTGTTGGGGCAAGTGTTTGTTAGCGAGCACCTAATGAAGGCTGGTACGGCACACGAAGGGGTGGGTGGCCAGCACCATATCCGAACGCCTTTGTCTCCCTAGCGGCGATGTTTACACATTCACACCATTTACTCATTTAAGGCTGAGGAAACCTAGGGGATGCCCAGGACCGGTTCAGATATTCGATACCGATGTTGAACAGGAGCGGGAAGCGAACTCGACTTTCCAAGTTTGTAGCGTAGTGTGCTAACCAATACACGGCCGCCCTCCACATTTAGACATACACGTGTATACATGCATACACGTACGGCAATTGACGTATAACTGGTTCTGTAAACAGAGTGTGTCTATGTTGTGTGTCTCTGTGTGTCTGTGTTGTCTCTCTTTCAAATGTATTTCTACCTGATGACGGTTGCTTGTGTTGCAATCGAAACGTCGTATTTTATTTTTTATTTTCTTTCTTCGTGAGTTTACCGAAAGAACCAAAGGAGTAATTCCTGCAGTCACGAAAGCTTCAAATCAAGTTTGCTTCTGTAATTGTAGCATTAATTATATTTAATTGTCTCATTGACAACCATTTTGTAAAACGTTTGCCTGTACGTGTTTATTTGCGTTATGCGTTTGTACTTGTTTTATTTTATTTTGGCGTTACAATAATTGTTTTGATTTCCAAATTTGTATATGTCCTCCCGTATTTTGTAACACACTTTATCTCCCAGGTGTATTTTGAAATGAAGGACATGTGCATCTCACTCGAATGCTATCTGCAGGTTATCTCTAGCGATCTCCCACTCAGAATCATCGTCTTGATTTAGACTGGAGGAGGAATCCGATGAGCTATGAAGCTCTTTTTCACAGATGTCGCAATCCACGGCAGGTTGGGTGCTGCAGAAGTTTCTCGCACGCGGAAGGTTTATGACTTCAATTCTGGCTTGGTGGCCAGCACAGCCCATCATTTAGTCCGTGGTTGATAAGCGAGTTCCATGTTTGCAGGAGGTCAACCGTAGTCGTCGTATATAGAGGCTAGCCTCAACCGCAGGAATGTTGAATTTCTACCACCGATGGCTGAGAGTCCTGAACGGAAAGGAGGCTTCACCACAATTTTGTTTTCGAAGCAGGGAGACACTTGGCACGTGATGATTTATTTGACAAAATCCTGTTTCATCACTCGCACTGTATGAAGCGATGAGGGAGTGAGTGGTGGCGTAGTGGTTGGCGCACCGCCCCTTGGCCACGGCTAACATCAGTGGCGAGTGATATCTGAACCGGGTTCTGGTCCACTCCGCGTTCATCAACGCGCCGTAACCAGCAGAGTGGTGAAATATAGTCAACCTCTTCCCCCCCCCACCCCCCCATAGCCGTTATAGCATGGGAGGTCTGCATACAGCAGTGGATAGGTACAGGCCTGTAAACTACACGTGTGTTATAATAATGTGTAGTATTTGCTATACGTGCAATCTCCAACTACATTCATAAATTGCAAACTTTAGTCAAACTTGAACAGACAATTCTTATACAATTAATAATAACACGATTTCTAAGCGTACGTATGATTGAAATCAATCACTCTTATCTCAATCAGGGTTCTAATGCGCAGGGGTATTTAACACGACCCAAGTCGATACGAGGATACATACACTCACTGACACATTAAAATCGTAGTGCTTCTATCTATGCACACGTAGGCACACGTGTACTTGGCATGGACAGGTAAAGTATGTACAGTATACATAAATTAGCATGTCGGACGTTTGTTTACGATATGAACACGCTCCTGTATTCCCTGACCTCCCATTCAACATGACAAAACACCGTGTTCTAGTACAGTAAACGAACGCTGCCATAAATAGAAGAGCAGTGCACAGCGAGTGGCCTGACGTTTCGGGTAATGCGGCCTGTTATGCCGCATCGTACTCCGTCGCAGAGATAAAAGAAGCGAGGACGTGGTTTACGAATGTGGCGTTGCTCTCGAGTGTGCAGGACGGTGCAACTGCGGGGTGGGGGGGGGGGCACGGGATAGAGAGGACCAGCCGCCGGTTCTACTTCGAGGAGGAAGGCGGACATTGGGTCTCGGTTAATGCGTTGCACCGTCAGGGCCACCCCAAGTAGCTGCGCGGTGCGGTGCCACTGTGGCTTCGAGGTTGTCAGCACAACGGACTGTGCACATCTTGAGTTGAAGCTTTCGTGACTGCAGGAATTCATATTCTTGGGTCTTTCGGTAAAGTCACGTCGATAGGTTCAAAGAACAAAAACTAAGAAAAACTAAAAAATCATGTAAGTGGTGGACAGCCAACCCGACGGTGGTTGGTTTTCCCTCATCAAAACTCGACACCATAGAGCTCGATGTATTTATCACCGTCATCACCAAGCCAGTGAACTGGAACACGTACACCAAGCTCTCAAGATGAATGGATATTCAGACTACACAATCCGTAAAGCTATCACCCCAACCGTTGGGAAAGAACCATCTGAGGACCCACTCAAAACCATCACCTTGCCATACATAGCAGGGGTCACTAAAAAGATTTCCCAAAACATGAGCAAACACAAGATCCAGGTTCGATTCAACACAGTACATCAAATTAGTGATCTGATCCCATCTGTGAAGGATGTGATCCCTGACATGCAATACCCCGGCGTCTACAAACTAAGCTGTGTCTGCGGCAGTAGTTACATTGGGGAAACTAAGAGACATGTCTCGGACCGTGTTCGTGAACATAAGGCAGATCTGAAACACGGTAGGACCAATACCTCGGCCGTGGCTGATCATTGTTTTAATGCGGTAGGCTCACACGACATGGATTTATCTTAGACAAAGGTACTTTGCAAGCCCACTGGCTATCAAAAAAGATTAGTCCATGAAGCCATCCATTTTTTAGACACAGACACAATTTCAACCGAGAAGAAGGATTCAAACTGAGCAATCATTGGAAGGACGATATCAACCAGTTGAAATAAAAATTGGCTATGATGTCCCCATCCTACCTGCCGATGTTAGTTGTGCCTTACTCCCATTTCAAACTGGCGCTTTCACAGTCACTTCGCGTGCCGACCCCTTGCTTGCGGCACCGCATTCTGCCATTAACATGCTAATCTCTCTTCAACATGCTAATTTTCACCTGGCAGCCCTTTGATTGGTGGAAAACCAACCACCGTCGGGTTGGTTGTCCAACACTTACATTATCATTGGCTGCTGACATTTGGGCTACGCCCATATCAAACCCTTATAAACAGTTTGCCTTGGAAGCTAACCCCCTTTTCCTGAAGACGACCGCTTGTGTTGCGATCGAAACGTCGTAGTTTCTTGTTATTTTTGTTATTTTCTTTGAACCTATCTACACGACTTTACCGAAAGACCCAAGAATACGACTCTGCAAAACTGAAACATTCTGGCTCATCCTGCCTGTGCCATGAAACGAAAGCGCAGCACCTAAAACAACGGCAATTGTCTTCATTGTTTGCACACCAAGGTTGTGAAAAACATCGACCTCGCTGATCTGACGTTATATTAAAACGTATAGAGCTCACGTCACTCGAGTGTCATAACGGGGGAAACTTGACCCTGATTATGAATAATTGATGAACAGGCAAGAGTCTGTTTTGACTATCAGATCTCAAATCGCAATATACGTTCAGACCTGTTCCCCCTCTGTATGGGCCTTTTGTGCCAATGGTTTTCAGAAAAATGAATAGAATTAACATCTCGCCGCGGTGGCGAGATATTAACTACCTCGATGTTGTTTAAAATTTTTATCCACCACGCTTTGTGCGAATGCGCTTCGGGAGTTGTGGCCCGTGAGCTTTAAGTATGACAACCAAACAAATCCCCACCGTGAGAGCGACATGGCGTGGGCTGGTGCCGCATTATCATCCAGCAGTGAATTCGCCGCGTGGATTCCGCACCTTCGATCATCACGATTGGCTACGTACGGTGCGGAAGAAGTGCAACACACACATATACACACACAGCAGACCGTGCGTGTGTGTAAGCGAAAGTGACCCGGCTCCTCTTCACCCCCCACCCACCCACCACCCATTTCTGTTCCCATCCCGCAGGCCCGCGGATCCGCAAGGCGAAGAAGCGCGCCGAGGGTGGCGGCTGCGAGCCCAAGCGGCCGCGCACCGCCTTCACACCGGAGCAGCTGTCGCGCCTCAAGGCCGAATTCCAGGCGTCGCGCTACCTGAGCGAGGCGCGGCGCCAGGCGCTGGCGAGGGACCTGCAGCTGAGCGAGGCGCAGGTGAAGATCTGGTTCCAGAACAAGCGCGCCAAGCTCAAGAAGGCGAACGGCGTGCGCAACGAACTGGCGCTGCAGCTGCTCGCGCAGGGCCTCTACAACCACTCCACCACGTCGCACGCGGGAGAAGGAGACCGTGACGAGATGAGCGACTGAGCTGGCGAGCGAGCGAGCGAGCGAGCGACAGAGATGGTCGAGAGAGAGAGAGGAGATAGAGAGGACGGAGACCTTAAAACAATCTCGCCACGGGACCCGCCGCGGGAACGCGGAGTGAGCGTGGTTGAGTTGTGAGAGCCAGCCTGGCCACCGATGAATGGAGGCGGACGACGGCTGCGCTTGGCAGCAGCATGACACGACGGACATTATGAGAGCCATTAGGGGGCTGCAAGACGCGGCGATGGGGAACGGGGGGGGGGGGGGGTGAGGGGGGTTAACGAGGGTTGGGGGAGGTGAAGAGGGGTGGGGGCCCTCGTCTCAGGCCGGGTGGGTGGGGGGGGGGGGGGCAGCGTGTGTTAAGCGAGAGCGGGAAGCCTTGTCTCTGGAAGCGCTAATTTAATTGGTACAAGGAGCGCTAATGGACTCGGATGCGCCGAGCTATTCCGCAGCCGAAGAATAAGATTCCACCGACGGGCCCTGTCTTGGCATTGACGGTGATGGTTATGATGCCAACGGGGGTGATGACGACGACTAATCACCTGCTGGATCCTTGGCGCATTTGCAAGACTCGCTGCGTGTACTTTTTAAAATGAACTTATATTATTCAACGACACCAACCAACGGCAAGAATTAATGTAGTCTTGCGAATTTTTGAGAGCGATTGTACCGGTTGTATATAATAAGAATAATAACGGCGATGATAATTATGATGGTGATGAATCGAAGTCGAATCCCTTCGCACGAGAGAATTTGTCCGGCATCTCAAATATCGATTGGTATATATATATAAGTGTTGATTGGCCGTGCTTGTATGAACGTGTCCACCCTGCGTGTGTGCGTGTGTGTTTGTGAACTTGTCCGTGTATCGTATGGTGCTGTTGTGACGCGTCGTGCTGGAGGTCAGATGTGTCGTGGCGTTGTCATCTCGTGAGCATCAAGACCAGCAGTGGCTATGCCCCTTGTATTACTTCACCGTGTCTGTATTCCGTGCTACTGCGGACCAAAGATTTTTAGAGAAAATCGCGTTATATAAACACAAACACACAACGTTCGTGAATAAATGGCACATTTTGAATGAAATTATTCTCTTGCTTTTCTGAATGTGATCGGACACATTGGGACGGCTTTGTGTGTGTCTGTGGGGGCGCGGTAGCGTAGTGGGTAGCTTAATGCGCTACGAACCCTGTTCACGACCAACATCGGTGACAAATATTTGAACCGGTCCTGGGCCTCCCCTAGGTCGACTAAACTTTACACGAGTTGATAATTGTTTTTTTTTACTTCTTTCCTTAGAGCCTAGTCTAACAGCTTTCCTTAGAGCCTGTGAGACAAGGCTCTAAGGAAAGCTGTCTCGGGTGTGGACCAATCAACTTCAAGGACAGTGCATACATTATCAGAGTTATGTTTTTTGTTTGCATTATGACTGCAGGTATTGTGGTTTATGCAAAGATGACTCCTTGTAAAAAAGGTGTCAGTTTTGTTGCCAGATGAAAGGGTAAAAAAACAATTATCATATTTTTTACTGGCAAATGAGGTTCCAATGGCTTACACGAGTTACTGGTGTTTATGTGTACACATCACCGCTAGAGAGACAAAGGCGGTAGGGCGTGTTGCTGGTCACCCACCCCCTTGTGTACCGTTCCGGCCTTCATAGGTGCTCGCTAAAAGCACTTGCCCCTACAGTCTATCGATACAATATATCATCAAAGGCGAATCTTTGCTTTTTACTCAATATAAGCTTACTTGAAGGGCATTACATTTCGATTTAAAGCTTTCGTGACTGCAGGGATTCATATTCTTGGTTGTTTCGGTAAAGTCACGTGACTTTACCGAAAAAACCAATAATATGAAGGGCATTATATCTGCAAACACAAAGTCTCGCTGGTTACCCGGGTTCGATTCTCGCGCACGGCCACCATCAGTGACGATCTGAATCGGTCATGGGTATCCCCTAGGTCGACACAGCCTCAAATGACTACCTGGTGCGATATATAAACATCGTCACTCGGGAGACAAAGGCGGCCGGGCGTGGTGCTGGCCACCTACTCCCTCACTAACAACACTTGCCAAAAGTATTCTAAGGCTATAGGGGGACCTTTGTCTTTGACTCTAGCGTATTTGTAATGTGTAACGTACAGTACGCCTAATTAATTTCGCAGATATATCATAAGACAACCAGTTCTTAATTTTCAGCTATTTCTTAATCATGAAGTATGGCCATATTTGACCATACTTCACCACTCTGGCGCGTCGGCGTTGGTGAAGAAGGGGGATGGTCCGGGAACTGGTTCAGATATTAACTTACCAACTGATGTCATCCGTGTCCCGGCATCGAACTCTGGTAGCTATAGTGAGTCAACCAAGCGCCACTGCTCACTTGAATGACCATGATTGTATATATATATAAACAACTTTTTCATGAATAAGCAACAGTTGCAATTTTGATCAATATTAATTTTTGTGCTAGAGCACGTGAAAGTTGTAATGCTTGTTATTAATCACTATGACGTGGCCTCACCCAAAAACAAATATGGATCATTCTATTGACTACGACAACCTTGCGTTTGCAGCTGGTTGCTGCTATATGGTTTAGTCTGTGATAGATTATCGCATAATACAAATATCCTTGGTAGACACGTGCTCATATTATTTGAGTCTTTCGGTAAAGTCACGTAGATAGGTTCAAAGAAAATACAAATTGTAGTCTTTTGTTATTTTCTTTGAACCTATCTACGTGACTTTACCGAAAGACCCAAAGCATATGAATTCCGGCAGTCTCGAAAGCTTTAAGTCAATATTTAAACACGTGCTCATTACACCAATGATCAAGTTTCAAGAAATATTAACAAACTGCAGGGTACATATAACAAATAAATATATGAGTTTACAATAGTTAAATATGCGATACATTAAAGAACCATACTCTTTGGTTCTTTCGGTAAAGTCACGTAGGTATAAAATATAATAAATGAAATCACGACGTTTCGGGCGCAACACAAGTGCCCGTCATCAGGTGGGATAACCACAGCAAGAAACAATTGCTGAAGTGGGCAAAAGGGGGCTGCTTGTAACAAGAGGCCATATAGGTAAGAGAGTGGGGGGAGGAGCCAGGGAGGAGAGATAGAGAGGGTGTGGGTGTGGGGTCGGGGGATTGGAGAAGTGCAAGCTCCAACAACGAGTACGACAAAATGCCGGGGCTGGGAAGTGAGCGGGGAAGAACATTGCAAACCCCTCGGGGATAGAAACGACCCACGGTGGGATTGAGCGTGCGCGTGAACCATGGGGTCCAGCCCACAGTGAACACGGGGCAAAAGTCGAATCAAGCCCACAGTAAACAAGGGAGAAGAGTGGGATCAAGCCCACACGGGGCAAGAGTAGTGGGGTCAAGCCCACAGTACACACGGGGGAAGAAGTATCTTCTGATCAGTGTCCATAAAGTCAAGGGCCCACGCGCCTCAAGAGCAACAACAAGAACGCCATTCCGGTTACGCGTTGGGTTACCATCGTCAGACGGGCCATAGGAGCATTGTAAGCCCTCTGACCCTCGTTTACACCCACAGGTGCGCCATAGCTGCACGGGTCAATCTTTGATCAACATTGCCGCGTTGTTTCCACTGTCGCGCCGGAGGACGGACTCGAACTGGAGACCCTCTGGATTGCCGAATCAGAGGGGCCATCCATTGAGTAGGTACGCAAAAATCTGTCAAAACTTGACCCCTCCCCCCTCCCTGTACGCACACGTACTTTTTACACATACCCCACAACCTGCGTACGTATGCTTGACGCACCCGCACCCCCCGAATCCTATAGAACGACCGATATTCAATTATGCAGAAACGATCAAGGATACATCATATTAACGTGTTTAAGCAAACAGATAGTTCACTGCCGGACTATCTAACTCATTTGAAGGCCAATGTAGACAAATTATTATCGAGGCTTCACCCCCCCTCCTCGTTTCCTATGCGTACGTACATTGTCAGTAGACCCCCCATATGCAAGCGTACGCATTGGGGTTAACCCCCTCCCCCCTCCATGCGTACGTGCTAAATGGATGGCCCCAGAATTAGTATTTTGATTGGAGGAGGAATACGATGAGCTTCGAAGCTCTTTGTTGCAGATATCCAGTAGGGGAACGGGTTCAGCAAGAGAGGAGTGCAAAATAGTCGCTATGAATAAGTATAACTACAGTACAGAAGTGTAATATGAGGATATATCCGGCTCACTGACGTATCACAACTCGTCATGGTGATTGGCTCTGCCGGTCCTGGTTTACAGCCAATGGGGGGAAGCCTGGGGGCATGGCCCTGACGTGATGGAAAGGTGACAGCTATAAGGATTGGTTCTGCTGGCTTTGGCCACAGCCAATGGGGAGATGAGTCAGGGGCGTGGTCCCGGGAGATGACGAGGGAGCCTGGAAGATTCGATGCAGGCTAACGAGGATTGGCGGAAACGTACCACGTGACCCGGGTATTAAATAGGGGTGGAGACGAACGACACGTGGTCAGAACGGGAACGAACAGAGGAAGGGGGCCACGCGGGAGCGGGGCTCCGAGTTGCCACGTGGCAGTGCGTCTCTCTCTGTCTATCTGTCCCTCTCACGCTGCCTATCAGCAGCGTGAAGTAACTGTAACATAAGTTGAATAAAAGACGGATTCCAGAAGTCGTCTCAACGAGCTTTATTACAGAAGTATAAATTGCAGAAGTTTATAAATTCCTGCATATTTGTCAACACAGCTTGGGCAAGGCAGAAAAACAGCAATAAAAAACAGTCCCAGACCACACCAAGACAACACAGTCCCTCAATTAAATTGCACATTAAAATTGAACTATCGATACACGGATAAGAACCTACATTACAAATCGCATTGGCAAATGTGGCTGGATCCAGCACGAGCACAGATTCCAAGTCCAACTTGCGAACCATTTTGCCCAGGCCAGCATTGAGAAGGTCGAATCAAATGATGTGAAAGAAACGGATTCTGTGACGTAGCAGCCACCGTCACATTTAATTTCACAAACTCATTCACTTTACATTGTAACATTAGCAGTCAAAATGTTAACGTTTTAAAAGCTGGTGGTGCAGGATATATGTGGGTGGCGGTTATATTAATATATACAGGACTACTTTGAATATATATATGAAACTTAACATGATCATCATGGCCATTGATGTGCTCATGCACCACGGATCGCTCTTTTAAAATAGCCGGGCAACTGGCAAAGCGGAAT